AGGTGTGGCGTATTTCTTTGTCCCGAGTTGAGATGTCATGAGGGCGCAGAGTACTGCTAAAAGGTGTTCTTCCCTCTCCTGAGACCACACTGTCGGGCTGTTTTCCACTGGCAGGGCGGAAAGTGCAATGTCAGAGTTGTATGAAGCATCTACGGCCCTTTCCTTAGAGACCAGGGATGCTAAGCCAAGGCCAGGCTTAGCCTGGTCAGAGCAGCCTTGGCAACGGGAGTCCCATTCTGTGTGTGGCACCAGTGAAGAGCGCTGCCAGCCACTAAGAGCTCATGCTGCTGATCATTTAGAGTCAGGTGCAGACAGCACCGCAGGAAGACCCTTATAGAGAGAAGTAAAAGAACTGAGAGAGACTTCTCCTTCCTCACAGGGCCAGCATCACTATTTGCTTATTGGAGTGGCTCGGTGCACAGGAAATAACATTTCTTTTTTGGCTTTTTCAGGTACTTCTTGTAGATGGGAATGGCCTGCTCCATCCCAGAGGTAGGACTTTACTGGAGAGCTCTGCTCTCCAGGGTCCCTGTGCTGCTGCTTGAGATTCCTGCTCTCTGGTGTCCTGCAGTTACAGTGACTCGTTGTTGGCAGGATTTGGTGTGGCCTGTCACCTCGGGGTCCTGACGGATCTACCATGCATTGGAGTGGCCAAGAACCTCCTGCAGGTGGATGGCTTGGTCAGGGATGAGCTGCACAGAGAGCAGGTTAGGCCAGGTTGGGAATTTATTTCCACTCTTTAATATCCCAAGAGAATTGGGACAACTGCATACAAGTACTTTCTAACCAACTGACCCCGTGTGTGTTTATCCTTAGATTCGTTCCCTGCAGAGGGAAGGAGATACGTTCCCCCTGATAGGCACTTCGGGCAGAGTCCTGGGCATGGTAAGCTGCGGGGAGTTTCCTGTTCGTTTGGCCATCAAGTCTTGCACCTTTGTGTAGCTGGGAGCACCGGGGAGTATTGTCTCTATAGTGGACTGTCTCAGTGATACTAGTTCAGGGAGACACGATGTCAACAGGTGACCAGTAACACTGCTTTCCCCTTCCTGTCAGCTCAGACATTAGTAGAAGGAGTTGACAGTGCAGGTGTTGGATATATTCACGTCCATGGCTATGGCATCTGAGGCGCCATAGCCCAGCACCCCGTTCGTCAACCACAGTCAAGGAGAGGTGCCAATTCTGTGGCAGCTTACCAGGATGCAATATGGGAGCTTCTGACTCAGAAGAGCGCTGCACAGGAAATGGGCAGATGTAAGAAGCTTCCTGCGTCTGGTGTTATTTCAACATAGTCTGCATTAGCAAGTCTCGCTGCTTCCCGGAGTGGTGTGAGGCATTTGGGGAAGGGCCACAGGGGTTCAAAAGGGCAAAGAGTCCCTATGAGGAGATACTGGGAAGCAGAGGATCAAAAAGGCTGGGAGTTACCAAATACAGAGCCACCATCCCACCTTCTGAAGGCAACTGTCTAGCTTATAATCCATCTGCCACTCTGTATTTGTTAAAATAAGCCTCTTAAGTATTTGATCTTTCTTGTTTCTGAATGCACAGGTCCTGCGTAGCTACAACAGCAGCTCTAAGCCGCTTTATATCTCTGTGGGTCACAGGGTGCGCCTGGAGACAGCCGTGCGTCTAGTCAAGTCCTGCTGCAGGTACCGGATCCCGGAGCCCATCCGTCAGGTACAAAAGCAGGGGAGCTGAGGAAGGGGAAGGCAGGCCTGGAGTGGGGAAGCAGGCAAGCAGGCAGTGGAGGGGGCGGTGGATGCCAAGCCTATGGTGATGTTTCAGAGCCTCAGTTTGCCACTCATCTGCAACTGACAGTTCTGCAGCTGGCACCCTTCTTGCTGGCCTGTTCTCCCCAGCCTGTTGTATTGTTGTTTACGTAGTAGTTAACTGATCCTTCCTTCTTCCTTGCTTGTTCTTCTGACGCAGTGCCCGGAAGCGCACACAGCCCTTACTGCAGACCCAGCCTGACTGATTTCTTGGTTCCTCTCTGCAGGCAACTTCTGGGATGCTGATGTTAATATACAGGAGCTGGAAATGCAGTTTTCCTGGGCACTTTGAGCCCAGCACAAACCGCAGTGCTGCTTCTCTGGGCTTTTCCCTGCTACTGCACTCCGCAAGGAGCTGCAGGCTCTGGGGCAGCAGCCAGCCAGTAGGTGACAGCACTGGATCACCGTCAGTGAGCCGCAGCTGCCATCAAGGCTCAGCTTCAAACTAATTAAATCGCAGCAGGGCTTGAGGAAAGGATCTGGAGAAGTGTAAAGCCTCTAGGACTTCTAGCCTGACAAGTGCTTCCCTTCTCTCAGGGTCACCCTGCTGTTAGTGGCTCAGGCAGGCCAGACCCAGCGACCGTCCAGGGAGCAGGGCCCGTTCAGATGTCCGTGTTCGTAACATTGCCCTGGAACATGCCGTTCGCATTGCTACACCGCCGTGCTTGTCAGGTCTCTGGCCACCTTTGCTCCTCAGAGCAGCACTGAGGTGATCCTGCTGAGGGCTGTTGTGCAGTCTCTGCATAGAGGAGCTTCTCATTGGTACTGCAGTGTCTTCTGAAAAGAGAGTATTATAGTTATAAACCAGACAAAAATCCAACACCTTAGAGCAAAACAAACCTTGAAGTGTCCATACCAGAACTGGAGTTTCTGATCTCATAAACCACGACCTGCCAGACGGGAGTAGGCTGATAGATCTTCTTATGTAATCTCTTCCAGCAAGGGACAGATGCCTCCGCAGAGCTCTGAGCTAGCTCTGCAGTTCGGCATGTTCAGAGAAAAGGGGAAAAGCATTCCCTTTGGAAACAAAAAGGTGTCTTGGAGCTTTTCATCACCCTCATTTCACTTCCAACTATCTCCAGTATTTGTCTATGTTCTGAGACTCTTCCAGTTCTCTAACTATGACCTTTATTTGAAGTGATGGAATGAATTGTTGTTGCTTTTCTTACAGAGAGATTAAAGATCCAAAAGGGAGTGTGTTTACTGTAGAGGTAGAGGAATGGTAGGAGATACGGACACTTAAACCTTTCCATGGGACTTCTCCCTGTCACAGTTCCTCTGTGTGGTAACTGTCACAGATCTTGACACAGGGCAGTGCTGGAAGCCTCAGCTCTTGAGCACCTAAAGCTGGAGTTAGGAAGTAGAAGGCTGCAGGCAGTCCTGCTGTGGGTGACTGACTTGGCCTTTTTGCTATGGTATGTCCCCAGAACAAGCTTGCAGACTTGATGGATGATGTGCTTATGGCTTTCCCAGTGTCATGAAAGACTTCTGGATCATTAGCTCTTCGTTTGTAAGTTCTGGTAGCCCTAGAAGTGTAATGCTCTTAAGAGAGCTCAGCTGCCCATACCTTCTTGAGGCTGTGTTGTTTATGGCTTGTATGAAGGCAGTACTATGCTGCAGCATGTGTAGTGCTGTGCAGCTGTTGTGGGAACTTAAACCTCCTGCTTTCCTAGACGTATGGCTGGCCAGTCTGTATAGGGTATGTTGTGCTTCTTGGGCATGCAACGCTATCTAGGCAGTGATCAGAAAGGGTTTGATTTGCATTCAGCCCACAATGTGGTTGTGCTGCCAAAGGAACTGTGGCTGTGATGCAGGTGAGAGAAGGGTTCTTTCAGAGAAAGAAGAGGGAAGTTCATTATCACCTACAATCAGTATTTACATCCCACTTAGTCCTTATTCCATGTGTAAGTGCAAGGCCAGTCTGGGAGAATTTTGCTTGCATGGGGGTGATCTCTCTGCCCAGCTAGCTTGTGAGATTTTGAGGTTCTTCTGCAGCGAGTTGGTCATTTGGAGCTTCCCAGACAGGGATTGAGGTAGGTAGGAGCTGTCATCCCAGAATAATAAGCAAAGCATTCAAACTGAGTGGCACTGGAACAATACCAAGCCCTCCTGAGAGCAACTGCCCTTGCCTACTTCTGGCAGAGGTCAGAACTCCTCTCCAGTGTTTGCCCACGCTCCAAGCCTGCTTGGAGGGGAGGATCCCCACGCACAGCGGGGAAACAGAAGCTTTTAACACTCTCCAGCTGACGGGGATTGCACTGGGACTGATTCTCCTGCTCTGGCTGTTTCAGGTTCCTGGTTGGCTGCATACCAGCCTCCAGCTCACTTGATGATCCTTTTAGCTCCAGCTGGCTCCTTGCCCAGCTGGTTCCTGCTGGCTCAGGATGTGGCTGATGGGACAGCCTGGGATTGCTCCAGCCCACCAAGAAGGAACAGAAGTAGGCCTGTGAATTTCTGCAGGTCACTTAGTGTGAAATATTAAACACTTGCCCTTAGGAGAACTGAGAAATTAGCCATCATCCCTCTCCTCTGTGTGCATAGCTCCTGCTGCCCAACAGGGAAATCAGTAGCTGATACCCTGAAACTCCCAACTCCCTTCAGATGTACCCCCCACTGCAAGCGTGCTGTGTGCACAGGGATCACCACTGCCCCTCATAAAATAGGAAAAGCAACAATTCCAGACCCTAATGCCAGCACTAGTCTCCTCTGAAAATAGAAACAATCTGTGAGGATTATTACAGGACAGTTATCCATCTTATTGATTAGCCTCTTGGTTAATACGCTGGGTTAAGCTGTCTCTCAGCACTGCGTTAGGAGTGAGGACTGGCCAGTAACTTCCCACCTAATCAAGCATTAGCTTATGTTATCAGCAGAACGTGGTTGGGGTTTTTCTTCCCTAGAAAAATAGTTTGTAGATGTGACTCTTGCTACCTTAGTCTCCCAGTAGGAACTCTATTGAACAACCTCCTTCCCTTGTTATAAAATACATCACGTAGTCTCTTATTCTGAAGAGTGATCAAAGTTATTTGTCAGTTCAGTTATGAAACTGTCCAATTATAGAGAGAAGGGAAAAAATCTCCCAAACAAACCACCCCTTATGTAACTATTTTTCATTCTCGAGCTTGCAGAATTGTTAAGCAGTTGTGGAGCTGCGTTTCCAGCAGTAAGGAGGCAGAGCCTTCACCCGAGAGGTCTGACTAGGAGCGGCAGGGATGGAGGGAGCTTCTTGAGGTATGGGAGAGACTCTTCAGAAGTAGAACAGTGATGAGAGTAGCAAATGCTTCAAGGACAGCCACTGGGGATGCGTTAACCCACTTTATTAGCATGATCATCATATGCTGTGAAGCTTTTCCAGCTGGGAAGGTCACGTACTGCTCTTTAAGTGGAGAGAGACACTCTGCCTTTGAGGTGGGGCACAGCAGCTGTTCTAAAATGTCACGGTGAAGCAGTGTTTTTGAGAAAGGAAGTTTCTAAAAAAGAAAAGAACTTTGAGGGAATGTAAAAATCAACTGCCGATTCTCGAAGTTGTCCAAGAGGCCAGGATCTGCATGCTTGCGATAGCATCTAAGAGTCTTCTGCACTGGAAAGCTGAACAATAACACTTCTGGGGAACAAGAACGTCCTGTAAATGTCCAGCAACACTTTCTATAGCTCTTGGGGTTTCCATTGGTGTTCTCCTTGCCCCACTCTGACCACATGCTATCCTGCATTGCTGATAAGACACAGCAATGTAGTTTTCCTGGTGAGCTCAGGAGGGCTCCTGTCACAGGAGAGTGTATCAGAAGAGGAAGGGAGGAACTGGAAGCTTGCATGAGGATGGGTTTGATGAGGTTTGGTGATGGCTCCAAGCTCAATTTCAAGTGAGGAGGGCAGTAAACCATGAATCTGGTAGAGTCTCAACGTTACTCCTTTTGATTTTGGTACTGGAAAGCAGAGCCCAGAGCACGGATACAGCCTGGTGCGTAAACTACTCCTGTTGTCTTCCTTGGCAGCTTTGCCTTTGGACCATGAGGTAGGACAGTGTGAAAGGTGTGTCAGTCACTTGTCTTGCCACTGCTGCCAAGAAGCGATAGAGCCGAGAATGTGCTTGTGTTTTGTCTCTGCTTTTAGTGGATGTTTTTACCTGCTATAGCTGCATAATTACCATCGCACAGCCAGCCCATCAGGCATATAGGCAGGATGAGCCAGGCTCTTGCCTAGGGAAAAGGATATGCAGCAGACGAGTGGTGTGCTTCTCCATCTGTTGCTGCATCATACAACTGCTGGAACAGAGGAAGGAAAGGGATCGGTACAAGAATGGGCAATATCAGCTTCTCTCTTTTCATCCCATGTCCTGTTGAGAACTTGCCTGCTGGATTGCCATATTCCCAAACTCTTCACAGCCCTTTCCATAGCCTTGTTCCCCTTCTCAATTTACAGCTTCCTGTGGAGGGCAGACTCCCATTTCTCAGCTGATGAGTGACCAGAAAAGCTAATCCTTTGGGAACATCACAGTGTCGCAGCTATAAAGACCATGGATGTTCTTGGAGTGCTGTGAGCCTGGAGGCAATGCCAGTGGGAGTCCCTGTTAGCATAGTCCTGGGCCACAGCTTCTGTTTCACTGAGTGTACAGTGAAGGTTATTGCAGCAGAGTCCATGGGGCATTCTGCTGCTCTGGGAAAAGTAAATAAAATGCTCCAGTAGTTCCCCATCTTTTGAGGAGGGATCTATGAGCCATTGTCTCATGCTAAATTGCCTTGCAATGCTGCAGAGATCTGCCTTATGGTTTTGGCACTCCCAACAACTTTCTGAGGGCCAGGCGACATACTGCTTTTGTACATCAATATAGGCTGAAGGATTTTGATAGCTTTGAGCAAAAGGGGTGAAGAAGATCCCAAGAAATAGAAGGGTGGGCAGAGTCCTGGGCTGAAGGGGAGGCATTTGTTTTGGGCATCTTTATCTGCGAGCGTTTTGCTGATGCACAGGAACTCCTCAGCACTGCGGAGACCTGCATGTGATCGCGGCATGTGATCCCTTTACAGAGTGAGGGTGGTGGAGCAGCTTCTGTTGGTTCAATGGGAGAGGTGGTTTACTTTTTGGAGTATCTCCTCTTGAGGGAAGGAAGACGTACCCTGCCCTCAATTTTCTAACAAGTCTGTTCCCTCTCTCATCAGACAGTGATGAGCTATTGCTGGGGAAGGCCTGTGAAGGAGCTTAGCTGCTTGTTACATTTTCCTGCATTGCATTTGGAGGTGCCTATGTGTGGAAGAAGTCATTTGGGTTGGTTCGAAGGATGAAAGCACTAGACCACTCTTGGACTCCCAGGTCTCTCCTGGCTCTGCTGCCAGGGTTCATGAAAGAGGAGTTGCAATTCTGGCGCAGAGACAGGGCAAAATGGAAGAGCCTGTCTCCTCAGCAACTCTCCCTTTGCCAGTGAACACCTCTTCTTACTAAGCCTCTGGAAATCCTTGCTGGCCTGTCACATCCCTGGACGATGAGGAGTAGCCATTCAGTGTAGGTGTAAGGTGAGGGATTCTAGCTGTGACAGTGCTTGCTACAAGAAGGCTCACCGCACTGCAGTGTGTGCTTGAAGCCTGTGCTAGTTCATCCTCTGGTCTCATAGGGACCCTTGGTGAAGGCTGATTGCACTCAGCTGCAGCCGGGATTTGCTGAGGAAGCCCGGTCTGGGTCCTGCTTTGGCTGTTCATCCTGCCGTGCCGTGCTTGGGGTAGGTCAGGGCTGAGCAGACCTTAGGCACCGGCTGGCAGGAACTGTCTGTACCCAATGTCTCACCTCCTTACTCCTATGAGAAGTAAAGGGGTAGACAGCAAGGGTTTAGTGAATGACATTTCTGCTTCTGAAATGGACTGTACTCCAGTAAGGCTGTTTGGTCCAGGACCCTCTGTTTCTTCGTTTCTTCATTTTAAGTCTTCATTCTCCCAAGCAGCTTGCAGTGAGGCACAGAAACCAAACAAGGAAAGAAACATGCAGGTTCCTCTTTGCAGCACAGTCGTACAAGAGCTATTTGTGATGTACTGACATCAGGGGCTGCAGCGGCATACTGAGATAACAAAGGGGAGGCACCAAGCAGGCTGATCAATCCTTTTTCACTTATTTTCCTCCTTAATTCCAGGCTGATATTAGATCGAGGGAGTATATTCGGAAGCAGCTGTGTTCACCACTGGAGGTCATATCATCTGGGCCAGAAAGGTAGGTGTGTGGGCAGCCCAAGCAGCTGCCTCTCCGAAGGGGATCTGCTCATGTAATGATCTTCAGTAATGGCATTAAAGGGACAGACAGGGTAACAAGGTGAGCTCAAGTGACATCAGGACATATGCTGCCTCCATAAAGGGTGATTTCTGGTGATTGTAGCCATGCTACTTCACACGTTTCTTCCGCAGAGCACTGTGTCCTGGGCTGGGGAAGGTCGTTGGGGATTTGGTCTGTTTCCAGTGCCTGCGATAAGCAAAGCACTAACGCCTACAGGTGTGACATGAAGGTGAACAGAAATATCCTGCAGGGAGCCGGTTTCTGCCCCCAGAAGGCAAGAGGAGGGTCAGACTCCCCCACTCTTACGTAATGCAGGCCAGCGGCTGCTCTGTTAAACGGTGTAAATCTATAGCAAGTCCACTGACACGTAGGAGTTCCTTGTGTTGTGGCTACACTGCCTCTTCAGCATAGTTCACGGGAGTGGTGTTGGGTTCCCTCAGACCCACACCAGTACCAGGTGGACAGATAGCAGCAGCCTGAAGAGCTGCTCAGGGATGAATGAAGTGTGTCAGGACTCAAAGCCCACTCTGCTCTGAGGGTCCTGATGGACCAGAAAGAGTGAAGGTTGCCAGTGGCAGTAACGAGGGATTACTTACGCTGACTGAGGCAGCTCTTATGGATTCCTTAGGATACCTGGCTGGTGCAACTCATCATGCTCTGCTCGGCTCCTCTATTTGAGTCATGCAGCCAGAAGCAAAAGAAGGGGCTTTCTCTGCTGTTGTAGTGGCAGCGTGGCCAGGCCGTGGGGGTAGCCTTGTGCAGTGCCAGGCTGCGTGTCCCTTGTTTGTGCTGGAGCTTCATCTCTAACACCTCTTACACCTTCCTGTCGTGGCAGATGCTGAAGCTCACACAAAGGCTAGCTAGTTTGGAGATCTGTGCAACAGAATAACCAAACTCATTCCATTTATGACCATGTATCTCAAAACCTGTGTATCTGAGCCCCTTACTCACCAAGTGACATAGTTATTTGGTCGCCTTGGTTTCTACTTTTTTTTAAGCCTGTGACCCTTCCTTGTGTTTGTTCCTTGCAGAAAAAAGGAGGCTGAACTGGATGATTAGTCTGATGCCAGAAGAAACTGCAGGCTCCTCTTCACCGGATCCTCTCCTCCACCCAGACTGTGGTTCTGTCAAGTGCAACAGCCGAGTGCCACCCCGGGGGAGAGCAGTGCAAGGCCGTGGCAGGCAGGACAACGCCAGCCACTGTGCGTGGTTCTGGTGGGCAGGCAGACCAGCTTCTGTTCAAGGATAATGTTTAGGGCATATTTCTCAGGGTTGATTTTTCAGCATGGTAAAAATATTTGTGTAAGCAAAGGTACACTTGTAAGTTTGCTACAACTTAGTTGAGTACTTGGGCAGTTGCAGGAGGTGATTTACAAAGAGATGCTGAGGCACTTAACTTAGAAACAAACTCCAGAGCTGGCCTTTGGCTCCCACCACGCCTCTGGGGCACAGAGACTTCCCTTCTTGTCGTTTTTGGAACAGCTTCCACCCAGTCCCTGCAGCCTGTACTCTCACATTCACTTTGCATGTCTCCGGGGAACAGAAGCCCAGTACGCAGCTCCGGCTGGCCCTGACAGACGGGCAGAGGACGCTGTGTTTCAGGTGGGCGTGTGACTCACGAGGGAGGGGACAGAGCCAACAGTCTGCTGCGGATATTGGAAGAGGCTCGGAGGTCTGAGCTCCAGTACCTGAGAAGCTTTCTGTCTGTTTGGTGTCAGTGGCTTCTGTGTGCCTCCTGCCTTGGTGCCACGCAGCAGTGACCAGACCTCGGTGGCTGTGTGCGGCTCATTATCTGTGCTAGGCACATGGTGCTCTGGTGTTGCTGGTCTTGGTGGGAACTTGGCCTGCATTGCTGCTGCAGAATGATTCAGATGGAAGGGCATTATGGTACCCAGACTTGCTTGGTGCTACTGTGACCCTCTCCGCAGTGACTGAGGCAGGGGATCTCAAGGAAAAGATCATCTCAGGGGAAAGGAGAATTTCCCATCAAGGGGAATGGGGAGGGAGGTCCTTCCTAATACACAAATCAGTCAGGGTGGCCAGATACCAGGCTTGAGTTTTTGCAGTCTGGGTGGACTGGGAGCGCTGTGTCAGGTCGGGAGGAAGCTCTCTGTGCCCAGACACTTGGACCAACACCCATCAGTTAAACCTTTTGTGAAGCTTTGCTTTAACAGCAGAGCACAGAACAAAGTTTCTATCCCTGAATCAATACAGTTTGCAGGGCTAAAGCTTTTCCTCCAAAGGTGTAGGTTCCTGGTTGTATTCGGCAGGTTGTTCCTGACCATTTCCGAAGCAAATTGGAGCAGGTACATGAGTTCTTGAATACAGCCAAAACTCTGGCATGTTGATTTAAAACATGGCTGTGTAAGATTCCAGCCTGAAGAGGAAAAAGGATGTTTTCCTGGGATTGGAGAGGGATGCCCAGGGTCAGGACTCCTGTGGTCTGTTTTAAATGCTGCCAAGCACTTCACTTTTGCATAAATTTATCTTACAGCTTTTGTTGCTGTTTTCTCACCGCTACCTCAGTCTCAGTGCTGCTTTGGGTATAGAGGACATTCAGCCCCTTCCGCATGTCCCTGCAGCATCTGCTTGATGGAGGCTGGGCTGGTTCCTCCTCAGTGCTACGCCCTGAAACTCGGGTGGGGGAAAGGGAGGAAGCCACAAACCTGGCTCCCGCGGGGCCCGTTTGGGGAGCTTTGTTGGGCTGGTCCTGGAGAGTGTTGAAGAGGGGGACAGGTGCTGATAGGGTCCTTCCCAAAAAAATCTTGCTGATATTGATGTGTTTTAAGACAAAGCCAGAAGCAGCTGCAGTTTTCAAGCCCTGGGAAGGAGCGTGCCATCTCCTGGGAAGCCTCAAAGCCATTTTCACATGGGAGTTTGTTACGTGGGTGGACACAGACTGGGAAGGAAAAACCGTCGCAGTGAAGGCATGCTCCTTTGATCCCGGCGGTGTGCGTGGGATCAGAGGGGCTGCCTGGCAGGCCAGGGTAAGAGAAAGCATTTGGGTTTGCATCTGACGCTGGCTTTGGCAGGGGACAGGGGTGCAGGAGGCTGGTGGGCAGCCCTCCCTGGCCGGGGGGACACGAGGGCAGCCTTCTCGCCTCGCTCCCAGTGCCACGGATACAGCACTTCTTCTGACACCGCCACGTCCCCTGTCTCGGAACACTGTGGAGAGGCGCCTCCTAAAAAGCAACTCCGCCAACTGCCAGCTTGAGAAACGAGTGAAACAGCCGAATGCCGCAGGAACAGCCTCCCCGGTGCTGCTGCTCTCTCATCCACTGTGAAGACACCCAGAGCTGTCCGGGGAGCAGTGGCCACGGATACAGCACTTCTTCTGACACCGCCACGTCCCCTGTCTCGGAACACTGTGGAGAGGAGCCTCCTAAAAAGCAACTCCGCCAACTGCCAGCTTGAGAAACGAGTGAAACAGCCGAATGCCGCAGGAACAGCCTCCCCGGTGCTGCTGCTCTCTCATCCACTGTGAAGACACCCAGAGCTGTCCGGGGAGCAGTGGGAGCCCAGCCAAAACACTGCTTCCCAGCTCCCAGGGGTGATGGGGAGGGGACCCTGGCAGCGACCTCTTGTGAGGGAGGAGTATTAGTCGTGTAATGAGCAGCGGTGGCCCACTCTCCCTGCAACAGGAAGCTCAATCTGGCTTAACGAGGAAGGGCTTGCTGTGCACAGCTGTCTGTACGCGAAGGTCTGCTGGGGTGGGAACCCCCCCACCCCCTAAAATCACCTCCTGCGCTCTCCCCCCTTGGCACACGGCTGGGTGCCTGCAGCTCTGAGCACAAACACCCTTCATTCCCTTTCTGACAAAACTATTGGACTTGGGGTGAGCCCTGCAGGACCCCCCTAATTGGTAGGGCCAGAGGTGTTAACTAGTGAGTTGTTAATGGGAGGAATTGGGCTGGGACCTTTCCCAGCTCTTCCCGGGCACCACGGGACCGCTGCCAGCAGCGAACGGTTCATCCATTTCTCATTCCAACCACATGTGAAGCAGCAACTACACTAAACCACGGGGACTCGTAAAGCCTTCACAAATTCAGGCACATATGGCATGCTGAGGGCAGGGGGTGGGTGCTTCTTAGATCTTGTGGGCAGAACACCAGAGAAACCCATCTTTTTTGTGCTGATTGCCTTGGCCTGGACTTTGCTGGCCCAGGGAGCAGCCTCCCTGTGCTGGGGTGCCACAGGAGCAGCCCAGGCTCATCCCAAATTCTGGGTCACACCACTCTCGCTGCAAATCTGTCTCAGCGGTGCTGAAGCACCTCATTTGGCTCAGCTGTGCCAGAGGAGGGGTCTGTGGAGGAGCAGAGCAGCTTGTGCTCTGGGGATTGCCCTGCTAGAAAAGGGGTTGCCTCAGCAGATGGGACTGTAGCTCCTCCTGACCTGGCTGCGCAGCTCCAGTGGGTGAGTGTCTGCAGTTTTAAGCTCTCCTCATACATTGGCAATTTTGTGTGCTTCTGGTTGGTGTTTGACCATGAGAGGGTTGGAGTGTGCCACTTTGTGGAGGTTCTGCAGCAAAAGATGTGAGCTGGGCTACGCTGAGCGCAGTTCCTCGATAGGAATGTGGGGCTCTTGCTGTGCTGGCTCCGCAGCTGGGGGTTGCCCCCTCCTGCTGGGCTTGGGGCTTTCTGGTGTGCGGTCACCCTGCGAGAGAGCTGGGGCTGGTGACGCTGCTGTCTTCAGCTGAGCTGTGCGCTGCAGCCTGCCTCGCTGCAGGGGAGGTGCCTCTGCCCGGAGGGGTGAAGTGGGAAAAAGCCAACAGTAACAAACAAACAAACAAACAAAACCCCAAAAAAGACAAAAAGCATCGCTATGCACTGCTTCCCCAGACATCGCTGCCGCTTCCCTCTGTGCGAACTGGTGTGTCTCTGCACTCTCCTTGTTCTGAGTGCAGGTAAACTCCTGAGGTCAGATGACTTTGGATTAAAGTC